TTGTTTTCTTTTTCCAATTTTAGTTGAGTTCCCCAAAAGTGGTAGTGTTCTTCATCTTCGTTTCTCTTTCATTTCCCTTTTCAAACTCAATTTGAACCCTAAACCTACAACCTGCTACTTTTACGAAATCAAAATCGAATCAGGCTTTAAACTTGCAACCATCAAATTTGTCAATCGAATTTGTTGACATATCCATTCAATGGATGTCGAATCTGGAACTAGGCATACGAATTGGAAGGTACCAAAAGTTATACCCGAAGTCATAGGTCTAGAGTCTATGGAGATTGAGGATAAGGTATGTTATGTTTCTCGATTAGTTATGTTTCGTTCTTAAAATGGCGTTCTTTTTTCTATTTATCTTTGCTTAGCATGTCAGAAAACATGGGAATAGGAAATGGGTCTGTGGGGTTTGTGTGTTACCTTTAGAGAAATAAAGGACATTGGACTTTATGATGTTTTTCTTTGTTTTAAAGTGACATTTGGTCCTCACATTGTTGTCTGTATGTAGATTCTATATATGACTATGTAGACAGATAAATTCATATATAGTAATTTATTATTATTAAATAATTAATGAACTAAAAGTGGTTGTTTTGGATGCAGCACTAATAATTGTTGAGTATTGATTATCTTTTTATTTTTTATATTGTTGATATGAATAAATTGAAGAAAAGAGTGGTGACTACCTGCCAATGTATATCCACATTGGTGGTAGTTTTAAACATGATAGCAATGGTAACGTTAGATATGTTGATGGGGAGTGTGATACATGGCAAGTGAATTTGGACTTGTTAACAGTTTGGGAGTTTTATGAGAAAGTTTGAATTGGTAGATATGATGTTGAACTGGTGGAAAGTATTTATTATCTTGAACCAAACAAATCACTGGATGATGGTTTAAAGCAAATTATTGGTGACGACACAGTTAGGGAAGTGTTTGATGTGATGAAGGGACATGGTCAAGTTCATATATATGTGGATCACATCCCCAATTTGGTGAAATAGTTCATGTATCTCTTGTTTTAATGCTCCTAGCACTTGGTGATCCTTTAGAACTCGTTGATGGGGTTTGTAGTGATGCTGGTGGGCTTTGCAGTGATGCTGGTGGGAGTAGGATCAATGTGGATGAGGCATTTAATAAGGTTGGTGAAAGGAAGGAAAATAACAGTGATGAACAGGATGGAATATTTAATGAGGCTGGTAGTTATAGGAGCATAGAACATGGGGACCACTTTGTTGCTGGAAGTAATGATGTCCAAAATGATTGTTTTCCTCAACAACATGATATAAATAATGTTGAAGAACTTGAGGAAAATGAGGATGAGCATGGGTTTGAGGATTTTCCTGATTTGTCTGACAATGAAGATGATGAGACTATTCTAACAAGGGATAATTTGAGGCATTACAAGGTGACTCAACAGCATGCTGGTATTACTTTTATTTTCTAAATAGTGTTATCCATTTAGTTTTTAAGCATAATTTACATTTATATTTGGTGTTAATGAATATTTGTTTCTATTGTAGATAATATAAACATTGTTGTTCAAGGTGAGTATGATGTAGAAATACACTGTGATGATGAAGTAAGTTACCAAACCATAAGTGATGAAGAGGACAGTGAAGCAGAACTTGGTATCAGAAGAAAAGCAAGGCATCCTGTCTTTGATGAAAGTGAAGGCAACTAGGAAATTGAGCTTGGTATGATATTTCTTAATAAGAAACAATTCAAGAAAGTTGTGGGTCAATTGAGCATCAGGGAAGGGAGAGAGATTACATGGAAAAAAAATGATAGGCTTCGGATGATGGCAGTGTGTAAGAATGAGAAATGTGACTGGAAGATTCTACTGGTGATGGACACTCCTACAAATTCTTTAATGGTAAAAACTTTCTATAATAGTCACACATGCTCGAGGATTGTTACAAACAAAGTTTGCACATTGTCTGTTACTGCTGATCATCTAGTTAACACAAGAGGACTAGCTTCCCTGCGTATGAATAGGGCAGATGTTTTTGAGGCAATTTGGGATGATTTAGGTGTGGAGTTGACACCTATGCAACGCAAGAAGACAAAGGATAAATTGAGGAACAAATCTGAAAGTGTTTCTAATGCTGAATACAGCAGGTTATTCAATTACGCAAATGAGCTTAGGTCAAAAGATCTAGAAGCAAACGTTGTGCTTGAGTGTTGTAGATAATCAGCAGATACAATTCCTACTTTCTTAAGGATGTACGACTGTTTCAATGCGTTGAAGAAGGGATTCCTTACTAGATGCAGACGTGTAATAGGACTTGATGGTGCATTCCTCAAAGGTGCCTACAAAGGAGAGTTGCTGACTGTTGTTGGACGGGATGCAAACAATCAAATGTACCCAATAGCTTAGGCTGTAGTGGAGGTTGAGAAAAGGGAGACATAGGAATGGTTTTTTGAAGAACTGAGGAAAGATTTGTTTATGGCTGATGGGAGCAAGTTTTGCATTATGTTTGACCAACAAAAGGTAAGTATCAACGAGTTTTATGACTTATTTAGCATTATAAGCAATTGGGTCCTCTAGCACTTCATGTTCATGTGATTTCAGGGACTTACACTTTATGTTTATGTGATTTTAGGGACTTATTAAGGCTATGGAGGAGCTCTTCCCATGTGCTGAAAACAGGTTCTATGCTAGACATAAGTACAGCAATTGTAGGAAGCAACATAAGGGCAAGGAGTTGCAAAAGGCATTTTGGAAGTGTGTTAAGGCACGAACAATACCTGAGTTCAGCAAAGCTATGGATGAGTTGACATCATTGAAACCTTCTACAAGGAACACTATGTTAAACACAGATCCAAACCATTGGTGTAAAGCGTTCTTCCAAACAGAGACAAAGTCAAATATAGTTGATAATAACATGTGTGAGGTTTTTAATGGATTGTTAATTGAATCAAGACATAAGGTTATTGTCTCATTGCATCAAGATTTGAGGACATTTTGTGGTCAAAGGATAGTGGTAAGAAGGGAATTTGGGGATAGAAAGTTTATAGATGATTTTGGTCCAAGACATGGGAAAAGCTGGTAGCAAATACAAGGGGAAGCAGAAGGTGCAAATTCTTGTGGTTGGGGAGTAACTATTATGAAGTTCAAGAGAACGGTCATGATTTATACATGGTTAATGTGGATGAAAGAAAGTGCACATGCAGGGAATGGGATCTCACTGGAATCCCTTGTAGGCATGCCATGGTAGCTATTAACACTAGAAAGGAAAAAGCAGAAGATTATTTATCATATTAGTATAGGAAGGAGAAGTTTAAAGCTGCTTATGAGTATGTTGTACTTGTAACTGAAGGGATGAATTAGTGGGAGAAAACTGGAATGCCACTTGTTCAACCCCCACTAGCTAGGAAAATGCCAGGAAGGCCAAAAGGGAAGAGGGTTTTGGAAGAATGGGAAGGGCACGCTAACATGAGTCGAAAAGGGAGACAAATGACTTGTTAAAAGTGTTTCCAAAAAGGACACAATTCAAGAAAATGCAACGCACAAAGACCCACCACTGTAAGTTTTACTTTACAGTGTACATAACTTTATGTGATAACAGGTTTAATTGAGATATATTTTAACTTGTTGTAGGCTCCTCAACATGAAAATGCCAATGCAAGTGAAGATTCATGTTGAAGATTCCCAACATCCCACAACAGTCACTGAAAATGATGTGACTTTTAGTAATTTTTTTTTTATTGTTTAAAGATATGCTCATACAAACTGTTGGACTATTGTGTAATAAACCATGCACCATTTTTTTTTTTTCAGGATTCTCAAATTCCTGAGTCAAGTGGTGAACCCAACTCCTGTCAATGATCCAATGTCTGTGCAGAAGCAGAATGAAGAGAATACCAATCCAGCAACTGTCCAGCAACCAAAAAATAGAGTTTAGATACCTACAAAAAGGCAAAACAAGAAAGTTAGTCCCTAAAAAATATAGTTAATGCACACTTTGATTTATCTAAGATCAGATTGATTGATTATTTATGTAAAATTTATTAGGGTCAAAGGAGTTCAAAATTAGCAACTGGGAATCCCCCTGCAGGTGCACCACATGCCACTATAGAAACTCCACAGCAACCTAGAAAAAGAGTGAAGACAACTGCAAAAGAACCACCAAGACATAGGGCAAAAAGTATTGGTAATAGGTCAAACCAATAAAAAAGGAAGTGTTGCAAAGTGTTTGATACTGGACAATTGGTAGTATATTTTGCTTTGTGCTTGTGTTTGGCCAACTATCAAAACTCTTGTGTTGAAGCTTTATGACATGTGCTACTTAGTATGCTTTACAATTGATGGGTAAGCTGGATTTTTGGTAAAAATGAGACAGTTGATTGGCAAACTAGTTTTTGATGTATGCTTGATACTTGACACTAAAAATGAGAGATCTTTTGTGTGTAAGCATTGCCTAATACTTTGTACTATGTGTATCTAATCTTTGTTTTTTTGGTAATTTTATGTGTATCTTGATTGTTTGGTTTTATGCACTTACTACCCAGCATTGGGAAAATATGCATTAAATTTCCCTAATTTCTAAAATGAATGTTGAACTCATAGGAAAACATGCCATACACATTGCAGCAACCACATTTCATCATATGTTTGGAAAATAACACTTTTGGAGATGAGATGAAATTCACAAGATATCATTACCATTACCATCTAGTTTCAGTACTTATAACATTCTACATCTCATTCACTTCCTAAGTACAAACAACCCATCAATCATTGCCATAACAATAAAAAACACCAAGCAGACAAATTGACTAATTATGGCTGCTTGAGAGCTTCTCATCTTTACCTTCTTCACTTTCTTCTCCAGCATCCTTATCTTTCTATCCATTAATCTACTTTGTGTCTTCATGAGTTCATTTTCCTGCAACAATTTGGCATTTTCCTTCATCAAATCTTCCTTTTCCTGCTTCAAGTTTCCCTTTTCCAACTTCAACTCGCAATTCTCTTTCTCGATTCTTTCTTTCTCCTTCAGATTTCTGCATTCCCAATCTTTATATATCAGTAGTAAATCCCTAGCTCTTCCCTCAATTCTTTCCTCACCATGTAAGAAATGGAACTATGGGCATTGACCCTAATACAATCAATTGTTAAATCAAACCTTAAATAAACTTAAAACTATGAACAAAAACCTAGAAATCTACTTTTTATCTTATCGTTATCTTTGGACAACAACGAAACCTCATTCCCAAATTTTGGTAAGTGAATGCAGTTCGGACAGCAGCAAGTAACCCACACTCGCACCTAAACTCTTCAAATCTGATCGAACCCACACTTTGTGAAGAAGAACTAGCCTCCATAAATCTTGCTAGGGATTATGTTTGGCAAAGAAAGAAGAAGAAAAAGGATTCTAGAGTTTCACAGGTCATGGAAGAAAGAGGAGAGTTAGCTGTGGGTGGGGAACTTGATTGAAATTGAGGAAAAATATAATATAATATAAATCTCATGTGAGCCCCCACAAAAAGTGAATCTGAAAAGTGGGGGAAGCAATCTAACATGTAAAAATGCCACGATGGTAAAATTATCTTTGTTGGATTTACACGTCGTTAAGGATCAAAAAAGCCAGTGATTTTGTGGCATCTTAATGTGCCACTTGTGCATTTAACTGATAGAAAGACTATTTTAGTACTGAAAATGAAAGTTTAAGGATAATTTTTAATACTTTTTAAAGGTGAGAGACAATTTTGATGCCAGAAAAATTGAAGAATCAAAATGGTATTTTAATAATAAAAATAAATTTAAAAAATTTAAATTATTAAAAAAAACAAATATTATATATTTTAATAATTATATATCTTATAATATTTTTTAAA